TTAAAAAAGCTTTAGTGGTGCTTTTAGCTTTCATGCTGGGGTGGTGCAGCATGTTAAGCATCCAACTTTTGGTTTCAGCTCAGGTCCTGATTTCAGGGTTCAGACCTGCATCGGGCTCCACCTTTGTCACAGTGTCTGCTTAAGATTCTTTCTCCCTTTCCATCTGTGCCTCCTGCTCGTGCTCACTCTCTCAAATAAATAAATCTTAAAAAAATAATAAACTTTAGTTTTGATGACTTCAAGTGATTTTCAAAAAGTATTATGTTTTTTTCCATAAGTTCAATGATTATTTTTATTATACTATTTGGGAGAAAATATGGATGCATGGATGGTCTTTGAGATTTTTTCTATCTTGAAGTCCTTAATAAACCCAGTAAGTTGTAGTGATTTTTCCCCAAATTTTAGTGGATTTAAAGTGAGTAATATTTTGTGTTTACCGTAGAATGGGTTTGTGGAAGAAAACTTTAATTCAGTTTGGTTGTTTATGATTTTTACTAGTGATTCATTTTTTGGTAAGCTTACAACCAAAAGTGGTTAGCAGCTGTAGGATGAAAAACAACATTAACAACAGGAAATTAACTGCAGTGATTTCAGGAATCATTTCCCACATTTAAAAATTTTTGTTCTTTTTAGAAAAAGATGAGCTTAGCTACTTTAAGCTCTGCTACTGAGATAATAGACTGATCTGTTTAGATGATTCTAACCTTTTTTTTTTTTGAAGATTTTATTTATGTATTCATTCATGAAAAACAGAGATTGAGAGAGAGAGAGAGAGAGAGGTGGAGAAGCAAGTTCCATGCAGGGAGCCTGACGTGGGACTCGATCCCAGGTCTCCAGAATCAGGACTTGGGCTGAAGGCACTTCCAAACCGCTGAGCCACCAGGGCTGCCCAGATGATTCTAACCTTAATATTAACCTTATTAATAGTATTATTACTTTTAAGACTTGGATTCCTACTATTTCAGTGAACATTTGACTTTACTTATGTTCTTATAAGTGGCTAAATTTTATTTTTATGATATATTATAGAAAAATGAATTATTGAATTGATATATTACTCATATTTGATGAACATTTATGGATTACAGAGCAGCTTAACATACTTTTTAAAAATTTAAGTATAGTTGGGACGCCTGGGTGGCTCAGCAGTTGAGCATCTGCCTTTGGCTCAGGGTGTGATCCTGGGGTCCTGGGATTGAGTCCCACATCGGGCTCCCCACACGGAACCTGCTTCTCCCTTTGCCTGTGTCTCTGCCTCTCTCTGTAGGTCTCTCATGAATAAATAAAATATTTAAAAATAAATACATAAATAATAAATTTAAGTATAGTTGACACACAGTATTCTATTCGTTTCAGATGTACAACATAGTGATTTAACAAGTCTGTACATTACTCATTGCTTACCTTGGTAAGTGTAGTCACTGTCTGCACACATTATTGCAGCATCATTGACTACATTCCCTGTGTTGTGCTTCTCATCCCTGTGACTGACTTATATTATAACTGGAACTCTGCACCTCATCCCCTTATCTGCTTTACTCATCGATCCACCCACCTCCCCTCAGGCAACCACTAATTCATTCTTTGTATTTAAGTCTGTTTGTTCATTTGTTTTATAAGTCCATACATAAGTGAAATCATGCAGTGTTTGTCTTTCTGACTTATTTTACTTAGCATGATACCCTCAAGGTCTGTTCATGTTGTCAATTGTACAATATCATCGTTTGTTATGGCTGAGTAATATCCCGTTGTACATATACACCACATCTTTATCCATTCATCTGTTTGACATGTGGGCTGCTTCCGTTTCGTGGCTATTGTAAATCATGCTGCTGTAAACACAGGGGTGTGTATATCTTTACAAAAAAAGTTTTCTTTGGGTAAATACCCAATAGAGGAATTACTGGATTATACGGTATTTTGACATTTAATTTTGAGAGACTTCCATACTGTTTCCCATATTGGCTACATGAATTTACATTCCCACCAAGAGTGCATGAAGGTTTCTTTTTCTTCTCCTCTTCACCAACACTTATTATTTCTCGTCTTCTTAATTCTAGCCATCCTGACAGGTGTGAGGTGATATCTCATTATGATTTAGCTTTGTATTTCCCTGATGAATAATGTCGAACTTATTTTCATGTGTCTGTTGGCATTTATATGTCTTCTATGGAAAAAAAATCTCTCAGGTCCTCTGAGTATTTTTTAATAGGATGGTTTCCCCTTTTGGGTGTTGAATTAAATAAGTTCTTTATATATTTTGGATGCTAACCCTTTATTAGATATATCATTTGCGAATATCTCCTCCCTTGGGCAACCCCGGTGGCGCAGCGGTTTAGCGCCGCCTGCAACCCAGGGCATGATTCTGGAGACCCTGGATCGAGTCCCACATCAGGCTCTCTGCGTGGAGCCTGCTTCTCCCTCTGCCTGTGTCTCTGCCTCTCTCTCTCTCTGTGTGTCTCTCTCATGAATAAATAAATAAAATCTTTAAAAAAAAATATCTCCTCCCATTCTGAAGGTTGCCTTTTCGTTGATGGTTTCCTTTGGTGTGCAGAGGTTTTTTATTTTGATGTAGTCCCAATAGTTTGTTTTTGCTTTTGTTTTCTTTGCCTCTATATTTATAGACATGTTGCTATGGCCAATGTTCAAGAGATTACTGCCTTTATTTTCTTTCAGGAATTTTATGGTTTCAGGTCTCAAAATCAAGTTTTTAATGCATTTTGACTTTATTTTTGTATATGGTATAAGAAAGTGGCCCAGTTTCATTATTTTTTGCATATAGCTCTCCTGTTTTCCCAGAACTGTTTATTGAAGGGACTTTCTTTTCCCTGTTGCATATTCTTGTCTCCTTTGTTTTAATTGACCATATAAGCAGCTTTATTTCTGGGCTCATATTTTTTTCCATGGATCTGAGTCTATTTTTGTGCCTGTACCATACTTTTTTAATTAGTACAGCTTTGTGTAGTATACCTTGAAATCTGGGATTGTGATACCTCTAGCTTTATTCTTTCTCAAGATTACTTTGGCTATTTAGAGTCTTCTGTGGCACCATGCAAATTCTAGTTTTGTTGTTGTTCTGTGAAAATTCATATATGTTTTGTAATTTAATCTAAATGGCAATCTTACTGATAAGTATTGTCATCACTACCCTTTGTCGACCAGGAGACAGACTCAAAGAGATTGTGACTTGCCAGTACTATAAATGGAACTGGATTTCTGGTTTTGTTCCTCCAGCTCAAAGCTCTACATCCCTGGAGTCATCCTGTCATATCACTACTGGTGGTTAACTTTTATTTTCTTTATTTTCTTTACTTTTTTAAAGTAGGCTCCACACCCAACATGGAGCCCAATGTGGAGCTTGAATTGATGACCCTGAGATCAAAACTTGAGTTGAGATCAGGAGTTGGAAGCTTAACCAGCTGAGCCACTCAGGCACTTTCACTGTATTAATCAAACTTTGATCTTGTCCCTATAGTTTTATAAAACAAAAGTAGCTGTTTTGCTCCAGGTTTCCAAATTTGGGTCAGAATTTAGAAATTAAGTAAATTTCCTGTAAAGCATTGTTCTCAATCAGCAGTTGCCTTTGGACTCCACCCTCACTACTTGCACTTCCCTGCCCCAACTCTCAGTGTCTGCAGACATTGTTGGTTGTTGCACGTGGGGCTAGGCACGCGGGTGCTGCTGGCATTTTGTGGGCAGAGACCAAAGGAAAAGAAAGTCCACCCCCTATCCCAGTCCCAGAACAGTCCAGCCATTGGTGCCAACAGTGCCAAAGTTGGGGACCCTTGCCAGGAAGAACAGACCTATTTACTCATTCCTGACCGGGATGGTCAAACCCTCCGCTCCACCTTACATATATGGAATATTTTTCTATTACCCTCAAAATTATTTAAAATCTAGTTTTTGTGGTAGTTTAAAATAAAGGTGATTTTGGGGATCCCTGGGTAGCTCAGCAGTTTAGCGCCTGCCTTTGGTCCAGGGCGCGATCCTGGAGTCCCAGGATCGAGTCCCACGTTGGGCTCATGGCATGGAGCCTGCTTGTCCCTCTGCCTGTGTCTCTGCCCCTCTCTCTCTCTCTCTATCTCTCTCTCTCTCTCTCTCTCTCTCTATCATTCATAAATAAATAAATAAATAAATAAATAAATAAATAAATAAATCTTTAAAAAAATAAAGGTGATTTTGTTTCATAGCACAAGCATAAATTGGAGTATTTCAGTAATGGTCCTATGCGAAAGCATGAATACTATGCTAAAAGTGTTATATATATGTTATAGTTTTCTGAAAAAATAGTTTTTATTCCTGGATAGGAGAAGAAAAATTAAACCAAAGCACAAGTATTTTATTTCAAGCCAATATTTTAATTTTTTTTTAATTTTCTAGTTCTGCCTATGTTGAATGTAAATAAAAAATACATAGGATACTCTTAGCTTTTATATAGACCTTTAGTTTCTTTGTGTTTTGCTTCATACTCTGTACAGTTGTATCAGTTGTGTTTACAGAGTTGTTTCCTTTATCATACTTGAGTAGACAATTTGTGTAGAATGGACAGTGTCTAGACTCCTCCAGCCAAGGTCTTACAAGGGACATCTTGAAAGTACTCCTTAGCTTTGAGGTGACATTGCCCTATGACCCAACAATTAACGTATTGTTGAAAGCTTATAATAACTGAGATAATAAAGACTGTGAATTACAGATTTTATATAAACACTCATGTATTTTTATGGAGGTTTTATAATCAGGTAATAATAATTAAATTAAAAAAAAACTTTGTGCTATAACCTGAAACCAGATGTTATGAATAGCATCTGTCAAATTGATAATAAACACGGAAGGCCTTATTATAAGGAGTTTAACATAAAGACAGTAAAGCTCTAAGATAGGAGAATGTGAATAAGATTATATGAAACCATACTTCAACATTAACAGAAAGAAGTATTACAGTACTACTCGAGTTATTAAAGAAAGAATAAGAAGAGTGTAATGTACTCTTCTCATAACCATTCTTGTCAATCTTGGTTTGCTAACATAACAGCAAATAAAAGAGCACAAATTTTGCTAAGTCAAGCATTCCAATTACAGTACAGTTCTTTTTAAAATGCACTTGATAACAAAGTGTTAAAAACTGAATGTGTTATTTTTTTTTGTTACTGAGAAAAGAATGTTCAAGCATATGATTTATACAAAATCATTTGTATACAAACGGAAACTGCAGTAGATGCTTGTTTCTCTTGATCCTGATGTAGCAATAGTTTTGCAAAATTCTGTTGAAATTTTTTGTCATAAAGTAAGTCAGACTTACCATTTAGGAATAGTTTTTGCTTGTTTGCATAATACCACCATTTTTAATAGAGTTCAAGTATTCCAAATGTAAATTTTATATTAAATGGATATTACTAATTACTACTTTCTGAAGTTCCCGAGCTGAACGCTCATTCTGCTCACAACACAGCGGAAAGTTGCAGGCTGCACTTCCCAGTACCTCACCGGATTGTTGGATAAACTTATCGCACTGTATAAAGATTTCTTCATCTTCGGTACTGTTGGGCAGAAGTCATTCACTCCCACTTTTGTAATTGAATTAGAGTGAAGGAAGATTATCTGTGGCAGGAGAAAAGAATGGATTAAAAGTACACAATAAATATAAAATTAAGAGTTTCATTTTATAGTCCACATTTGATCATGGGTTCATTTGTCCATTTATTTCACACTGATTTGAATGTATTTCTCTTAAAATATATCTTTTTATGTTTGTTAAATATTTAGGATATCCACTCAGGATCTTTTGTGATGCACAGAAGTGCTGTGGGAGTATAGCACATCAGAGTCGTCCTGCTGTGGCCCAGAGCACATGCCTCCCTCCTCCTCTCCTCTTACCTATGTAGCGGGGTGTGTGTGTGCACTTACTGCAGTGCCATGTTTACAATACTGTGTTTTAAAAGTACTAGTGATGAGCAGAAGAATGAAATTCAGTGCTCCCAAGATTAGGTTTTGTAAATATGAATTGTTAGCATTTTCTTTGATCAAGGCAAAGAAATGTAAAGCTGCTTTTTTGTAAGTTGCTTTATAGAAAAATATGTCTGTTAACAACATGAATACATATTTGTAATACAGAATCAGTAGTCAAATCTTTATTTGCACCAATGAAAAAAAGAGATTTATAACTATGATATGTCTTGTGACGCCTGGGTGGCTCAGCGGTTGAGTGCCTGCCTTCAGCCCAGGGCAAGGTCATGGTGCTCCAGGATCGAGTCCTACATTGGGCTCCCCACATGGAGCATGCTTCTCCCTCTACCTGTGCCTCTGCCTCTCTCTCTCTCTCTCTCTCTCTGTGTGTCTCATGAATAAATATAACTATGTATATGTCTTTTAAATTATTGCTCAGAATGGACAGTATAGGGTCTTCCCTCCATCCCCTTTAACAGCCCCTTAAATTCTTCTTTGGTCTTTTTGGCAACAGATTTCTGAGAAGTGAGAGCAGTCTACCAACAGCATATTGGCATATGAAAGAATTGAAGCCTTTTGCAGGCAAAGCTAAGGTACCAGTTCTGGCTAGCGTTACCTCTTCATTGTGCTTTCCATTATAGTGAGATTGATCTGAGCCCCCTCCCCGTGCCATCTGTCAGTGTTGGGGATTCTGTGACAGGTGCTTTGTATGGTTCATGCATGTTTCATGTGTTCTTTAGAGTTCTCTTTTTTTCTGTGTTTTAATTCTATTCATTAAAAAAAACAATGCTAGCAAGAATATAGGTAGATTTTAAGAGCAGCCAGAAGTTGGAATCAGAGTAAATTCTTAACTTGTGAATAAAGAATGCAAATTGTGGGTAGCTTAAGAAAGGAAAGACTCAGGTTATGCTCACTAGTTAGACATTTAAATGCAGCATTTGAAAAAGTAAAACTCATAGCCTTGAGATGAACATCTGCTTATACCCCTTCCATTTTGATGGCTTTTGTCTCAGAGAACTGTAGTGAATAAAACTTATTTAAAGATAAATTGGGAAGAAATCTAGAAGAAGCAAGTGACTCAAGGCCCAATTTTTATTTTAATGTGGTTTTGCTTCTTGGAAGATGAGGATGTTGTAAATCAAGGAAAACCCATGAGAAAAGTGGACTAAAGTGAAATGGGATTAAGTAGGGATTCTTAATTTGAGGAACATAGATAAAAATCAGGGAGATCTGTGAAACTCCTAAAATTATGTACAAAATATTGTCTTCATTTTTTGTTGGGAGAATCTAAAACTTTATCAGATGCTTCAAGGACTCTAGTGTCCCTCCCACCTAGCCAGGAGTTGCTAGATTCAAACAAAAAGGTTCCTAACAATGAAGAAGAAATGTGAATCTATGACACTCCACATATTGACTTTTGATTATTCTGACCTCAAGTTTTAAAAATCACATACACTTCTAATCTAGCACCGCACTGGTAATGAAAATGCCTGGGATCTTGTCCACATGATCTTCATGAAATGTTTCCAGAATGAAAGGATAGAGGATCCTCCTCGGATTACTCCTAACCAGTTATGCCTTTGCATAGCCCCTGCCACCCCTGAAACCTGAAGTTAGCCAAATCAGTAATGTTGCCAACAGTAGCTGTGGCTTCAGCAGTAGGAGAACATGGAGGATGGAAGGGTACTTGAGCATTTTAGCTACAGTCTGCTTAGAAGCCAGATCTTAAGAACACCTCTTGGGCAACCTGCAGAGTCATCCATGTGAGTTACCCTTGCTGTTTGCCTGGTGTGTGCTTCAGATACTCGTATGTCTCACAAAAACAAAGGAGAGTATTAGTATCTACAAACCATAAGTGCAAGAGCATCTTACCTGCAGGTACTTGAGCTCCTGTAATCCTGACGGGATTTTCTTCAGTTTGTTATTCTCCAAGTGTATTTCTCTGACTCGTGGTATATTAGCAAGACTTCCATTTTCGATATCTGCGATTCTGTTGTTTCCGAGGCCCAGCCTAAACATGGTGTGAATTGCATCAACTCTTAAGCAGATGTTGATAGTTGGCTGAAGATACCACAGTTGTGTGGGAAATAGAAGCTGGACTCATCTGTGCTCACAGAAAGGTACTTCCTGCTTGCTCTTCCTAACCTATCTCCAGCTGTGATGGCTGTCCTTCTCCTCCACTATCACTAAACTCTGTAGCTAACTTTTACCAACCAGAAGGACATCTGAAAAGTTCTTTACCTTATTTCACTTGCTATCCCTCTACCATCCCCAAGACAGAGTAAGGAATAGCTATCCCTGTTCATTTTATCTTCATGACACTGACAGACTTGATTAGGTCCCTCTGCTTCCCCCAGGGGTCTCATTAGTATCTCCATTGTATCACCACCACTTCTGAGTTGGGGTTAGAAGAGTTTTTACCTTTGCAGGTCTTTATAGCGTTTAAAATCCTCGAGTTCCACAGTTGAAATTTTATTATAGTCTAAGTGAAGCTCCAGTAAAGTTGATGGTAATTCTAGGAGTAAGAAAAGAGAGCGACATGTTAGATTGAGTAAAGCCAAGCCCCCATGGATTATTTATGTACTTGTTAGGTTTCACGCTGTAGACTTAGGCAGTCTTTAAGGGATCATTTTTTTCAACGTTTTATTATGAAAAATTTCAAGCACATGCAGAAATAGAAGCTACTGTCATGAGTCACCACATGTAGTGTCTCCACATGTCTTTCATCCACCATGTTATTTGTCTCTCATTGGCTTGTTCATGGATTTGTTTTTCTTCATTGACTTGTTTTTTGCTGGAGTATTTAAAATCAAATTCCATACATATTGTCATTTCATCTGTAAAGGCATCACCAGATGTCATCAACTCATCAGGTCCTCTTGTGTCTACATAACCATCTTGTCAGTGTTTCGGCTAATGGGATTTGAGGTGATACTTCAGATACGTTGTTTTACAGTTGATTTGTTCAGGTCGGGATCCAAATACAACATTGCAGAATGCATTGGGTTCTCCCATCTCTTAAAATTTCTTCTATTATTAAATATACACTTCTTCCTTTTTCCCTGTCTTGCATTGATTTCTTTCAGATACTGATTTGAAATACTCATTTGTGGATTGGACTAATGATGGCTTCCACATATCATTTATTTTATGAACTAGTGGTTAGATGTAGAGATGGGATTAAATTCAATAGATCAGCCTTTCACCTGAGGATCTTAGGGTTTGTTGATGAGTACTATAAGATCATTGTTTCTTTATGACTGTGAAAATGGTGATTTTCTGATTTTTTCATGCATAATGCATTTATCAGGTAGGATTCATATCTAAAGAATTTTCCTGCATCAATTATTTAGTGACTATGTAATACAATTTTTACAGAAAAGGCAGCGTAAATGCTTGCTTCTTTTAAGTAATGAATTGGTGCAATGCCCAGAGATAACCAGTGAAATTTTTTTTAGTATTTTTATGAACACATGGGTTTTTACTCTGTTTGATATATTGGATCCATAAAGAGAAGCATCCACAGTGTAACCTGGCACATGCGGGGTACCTGATGACTGTGGGTACCTTCTCTCAGCCCTGTATGTTCTGACCGCAGCCCTCCCCAGATCAACCAGAAAATTAAATCACACCTTATTTTATTAGGCTTATATATATGTATATATAATGTGTTACTTGTCAACAATGGGTTCTAGTTCGCCACCTGGGGAAAGTATTCTTTTTTCCAACTCTTACTAAAAACATTTCCTTCCTTTATTAGTGGTTAAGACTGTTGAAGGTAATTGAAGCATCCTTATAAATATCAGTACTCTTGCTGGCTGAATTTATGTTGATTCCAGAGTCTACTTTGGGTTTTAAAAGTAAAAAAACTAGAGAGCAAGAAAACAATTCTAAACTGAGAGAGTTCTGATTTCTTGAATTCTGATGCTTGACTCCAATATGTCAAAGAAAGGAGGGGAGGTTCTGTTTCAGAGAACTTACTTATATACTAGTTGAGTAAATCCATCACACATACAGAAGTCAATAAAAAAGTATCAGAGTGTTCCAGCCTATTGTAGAATATGTTGTAGCAACTCAGAGAAATCTGTTCATGTTTTTTTTTAACTTTTAATTTTTTTAAAGACTTTATTTATTTATTCATGAGAGAGAGAGAGGCAGAGACACAGGCAGAGGGAGAAGCAAGCTCCATGCGGGGAGCCCGATGTGGGACTTGATCCCTGGACCCAAGATCATGCCCTGAGCAGATTCTTAACCACTGAGCCACCCAGGCGTCCCAAATCTGTTCATGTTGAGCAGTCAGGGAAACTTTTCGGAAGAGGGTTTGTAGAACTTGAGGGGACTGTTCCCTTTGCTAGGGTGTGGAGAAAGTAGATAGCCCGAGAGAAAAGGGGAGCCCCTGGAGGGTAAATGAGCAATGTAGGAGTTTGGGTGAGAGCTCAGTAACCATCAGCAAACCCTAGTGTGCTTCATGCTTTTGCACAGATATTTCTATTCCCACGCTGTGGTCAAACTGGTGCCTTCTTGGGACACCTGGGTGGGTCAGCGATTGAGCACCTGCCCCTGGCTCAGGGCATGATCCGCAGTCTCAGGATCAAGTCCCACACCAGGCTCCCTGCCTGGAGCCTGCTTCTCCCTCTGCCTACGTCTCTGCCTTTCTCTCTGTGTGTCTTTGATGAATAAATAAATAAAATCTTAAAAAAAAAATAGGTGCCTTCTCCCCTCCATGCAGTACTCTTCTGTAGCAGAGTTTCCCAAATGAACCAGGAGAAGGGCACATTTCACTCAACTTGTGTTAATGTGTCAGGTCTCACTTGTAAGGGCCCTTGGGACCTCTGCCTAATTTCATCCTGCTGTGAGGGGTAGTGATGATCGGATTTCAGCAGTCAGTCTTCACATTTTAGCAAATAAATGATAAAAACTTAACTGGCTTTTGAATGTGGTAAAGACCTTGAAAGAGTAGTTATATAAGTTGAGAGATTTAATTCCAATTTAAATTTCTAAAGATAGTGGCACCTGGGTGGCTCATTCGGTTAAAGCTTTTGCCTCTGGCTCAGGTCATGATCTCAGGGTCCTGGGATCGAGTCCTGCTTCGGGCTCCCTGCTCCATGGGGAGCCTGCTTCTCCCTCTTCCTCTGCCCTTCCCCCTGCTTGTGCTTTCCCTCTCCATCAAATAAATGAAATTTTTAAAATAAATTAATTTCTAACGATGGGATACATTCCTTAAGCCTTTGGAAAAATCTTGAAAACATCATGAGAAGTTAAACCTTCATTTTTAAGGTACACTGAAAATTGAAGAGAATTGCTCTCAGGATGTGTTGCAGGGCAGGAGAGGCTGCTGTTGGGCACAGCCCTGGGGCAATGATTGCCAGTCTTTCTCCTCCCTGACCCTCCTGTCCTGCCCTCTGCCTACCCCTCTCTTTCATCTGCTGTCAGCTTGTCAGAGGCATTTTATGTATGGAACCTGTTAGGTGGCATATATTTGTGTTGGTGGTGTTGTAAAGATGAGAAGTAAATCATTTTGGGTATCTTGTTGAAAAACCGCCATCTTATGGAAAGCTAAATAAGGCAGCTTTTTAATTGTGTCATTCTGAATTAAACTGATTTTTTCCTGTATAAACAAATTGTCTTTCCACTTTTGTTTTATATGATTTTCCTCCTAAGTGGAAGATCACCACTTGATTCCTAAGAGCAGCTTTGTTTAGTCCTTTAACTTAAGAGTTGATGTTTGTTAATCTTCTGGATCAGGTGAATAGTAGAAAAAAATTTCGATGAAGTCTCTGCTTTTTCTGTGGACACTGAAGGACAAAGCTGTTTGCAAGGAAACTATACTATTAACCACAGTGATTATTTCTGACTCAGGTCATCATCATAGCAGAGAGAAAGCACCCCTGTCAGAGAAGAGGAACAGACTCTGAGTAGGGTTCCCAAGAAAGGAGAACCTCTCCACCTCATCGCCGCACTGAGAGCTTTCAGTAAAACATTAGAAAACTGGTCCAGTAGCAAATTTAAGGAGCATTTTATTTTGAGGCACTAGGCTTTAGGTTCTGTCATAAAGAGCAAGTCTCCATCATGTCAGGCGGGGGCATTCACTGGGTATTTGTGAATTAATGGTACAGACCTTTCTGTGCATTGGCCCATTAATATACACAGCACCTGAGTGAATAAACCGGGTACAGGGTGCACACACTCCCCCCACCCCCCAAATCCAGTGTCTGCCCTGGTCTACCCTCCAGGCCCCTTCCCCAACCACTGCTGCATGGCTGGGGAAGGTCCTCTGGCCCCTTGCATCTTCCCTGACCACCTTCTCTAGAGAATGTGCACCTCTAGCAGATACTTCACAGAATGATGGGTATAAATGAGCAAATGTTAGGAGGGAGAAGCAATAAAAAGTTCATTGCTTCTTAATGTTTATTCTCACTGGGGAGACAAAAAGATTCTGTTCTCACTGGAGGGGAAAAAGGCACTATGTAGGGCTCTTTATGTTTGTGAAAAAACAGGAAATGTCACACACACTGACCACACACACTGATATAAAGGATTCTGACTGCCTTGTGGTTTTGACAGTGTATACAGTTTACAGTAATACATTTCATGGTCATTTAAAGGTGACAATGTTTTAAAATACCTTATCTTAAATAAATACAAACCTTTAGGAATTGAGGTGAGTTTTGCTTCTGCAATTCTGATATGGAACACTGTCACTCCTTCAAATGCCCCTGGTTCAATCCCATTATTATCCAGAGGGTTTGCACTCATTTCTGTGGAGACAAATTACATAAGTTAGCATGCAGTCATTGTGTTTGGAGGAGACCTAGTGCAGGCACAGACATCCCAAGAACATTGAGAAGTTCGAGTTTTATCCTGCACCTTTTTCACTCCGGGTGTTAATTTCTGTGTCTATCTGTTCCCCTTTCTGTTGCTGTCAGTAAAAGATGGCTTTGTATTACATATACTTATGTTACAGTAGATTAATACTAGAGTAGATTTCTTATATAGAATATAAAAGATTTTTGCTTTGAATTACTAAGTCAGTGACTTGTTATCAACTTTGTTCTGACCGTGAGCATGATATTTTGTTATATTAATATTACATTAGAAAAAAGATAATCCCTCATAACTTAAAACATGTGTTTTCCAGTATACATTTGTCACCTAAGCTTTTAAAATTATTACTCAATTAGAAATTATTTGATTAACAAATATAAGTTTGAGGAGATGTCAGTAAGTGAAACTATTTGGTAAATGCCAGGCATTTGCCTGACCTAAGTGAGGAAGTGAATGAGAATATCAATCTAGAATTTTAAAGGAATCTTTGAGAGGGAGGTGGCATGGTTAGATAGTGGGCATTAGAAGTAAAATATAGTGGAGTTTACAATGTCACAGGAAATTCCTAAGCTCAGCAGTCTTAAAGCAGGTATTGTAAATTAGATATACACTGCAAATAATTTTAATTTTGCAGTGTATATCTGTACATTGTATTAATTTTGTACATTGTATTAGAGTAGTTTAATTTTATACATTAATTTTGTACATTGTATTAGAGTAGTTTATACAATACATTAAAAATACTACCTTTTTTTGGTGTAAGCATAACTATTTTTTTTTTAAATACTACCTTTAAATTAAAGTCAAATAACAGATTTTGCCAGTTAGGAAGAAGTCAGAAAACTGAAACCACTATAGGTGTTTCAGAAGGGATTCTTGAGAGAGTGTGTTACAAATGGCATATTTTTTTAAGGGCTATAAGTGCTGTTTGATACTTTGATTTATAAATGGCTTAGCTAAATAAAGATTTTTAGATTTAAAAACTTAATTTTGGAAATTACGAGTCTTAAACAAATTGTTGGTGATGAAGATCTCTATCTTTGCATATTGCATATAATTCCAAAATGTCTCATTCAATTGCATAAACTTACCTAGAACATGTAAAGTATTCATTCCTTTGAATGTCTCCTTTTGTATTTTCTTAACTTTGTTATCATGAATTCTGAGTTCTGCTAGTGACTTAGGAAGATTAAATGGTATTTCACTTAGTTGATTGTGGGACAGATAGAGCCTCCTCAACTTCTTCGTGGTTAGAAAGGCTTTTGGGTGAATCTTTGTTAGCTTATTGTTGTTCAGAATCAAAGCCTAGATAAAGCATAAAGAGTGACACCATATTATGAAGTGGACATGATTTACCAATATTCTGCAGTGATTAGCCACTTGTGGAAACCCCTGCAAATTACATCATTCACATACTTTATTAACTATGTAAATAATTCCCCAGTCCAATCTAACCAAAAACAGATATTTACTACTGAGTTGGAACAGAGTGGTTCCGGGCCTTTGATTTATCTTTCAGTAGGTGATGTGTTCATGCAGTCAGGCCCTCCCCCTCTGGTGCCCCATTTCCCTTCATAAAAGTGATTGAAGGTATTGTATCTAAATATCTCTTGAGGGGGTTCCTGGGTGGCTCAGTTGGCTAGGCCTCGGACTCTTGGTTTTCAGCTCAGGTCCTGATCTCAGGGTCCTGGGATTGAGTCCCACTTGGGTCTGCCTGCTTGAGGATTTTCTCTCCCTTTGCTCTTCTTCTATCCCACCCCCCACTCAGCACACATACTTGCAAATAAATATCTATTCAGCCACACCAAATATGTTTTTGTATGATTTTTATCACCTTTTAAAACCTTACCTCTTTTATGTTTGCTAATGTGAAGTATTTTTCCCAGAGTGGAGGCCTATAGGAGTAAACTGCTACAACATGCCCTTGGCATGCAGGCATATCTCAGACACTGGGGAGGCGGCAGAGCTCCTGAGAAATGCCTCAACCCCTTCTAAGGGCCCCATAGGAGCAGCCTCGGAGCAGCTCCACTCCCAGACAGGAGCCCAGCTCTGCAGTGTCCAGAGTCAAACCCATGAGACGTGTGGATGGCGCCTGAGCTCAGTGCCTGGGTGCGCTGGGCAACAGGGGCTACGCCATGTGTCCCAAGAGCAGTAGCTGGTGGCTTCATTCCTAGGGACCTTTCATCCCTCTGCTTCCTTTAAAGAGCAGCTCTAGAATTGTTCCATTGATGGATTTTGTCACCAATGCCATCCTACCCCAACCTTCCCCATGTTTCCAGACTTGATATATGCCCTTACAGTGTTATTCACGGGATGCTTCTTACACAGAAGAAATACACATGCTTTGGGAGCTAAACTCCCTTCATTATTCTCTTTACTGTAGGCTTTTTTTTTTTTTAAGATTTTATTTATTCATTCATGAGAGACACACAGAGAGAGAGAGGCAGAGGCACAGGCAGAGAGAGAAGCAGGCTCCATGCAGGGAGCCCAACATGGGACTCGATCCTGGGTCTCCAGGATCACACCTTGGGCCGAAGATGGCGCTAAACCGCTCGGCCACCAGGACTGCCCAACTTTTTTTTTTTTTTTTTTTTTCAAGTAGGCTCTACATGAAGTGGAGAGCCTGATGCGGGGCTTGTGCTCATGACCTCAATATCTAGACCTGAGCCAAGATCAAGAGTTGGACGGTCCACGGACTGAGCCAGCCAGGAGCCCTATGGGCCCCTCTCTGCCCCTCCTCTCAGGCGAACTGTCCGTTACAGGTTTCACCTGGAGCAAGGTTGGCTGCAGAACTGGAATCAGGAACGTGTCCATTTAAGTGTGTGCTCTTCCCCTTTGGCTGTGCTGATGTCTGGGGAAGAGTGGAGTTAGAACTTGCTGAGTCCTTACTCAAGCCTATGATACTAAGTTGGCAGAAATGTTCTCTCTCCTTTACCATGGAGGGAAGGGAGGGACCTTTGTCCTGTTGGGCCCTGCGTCCTGCTGTTCTGCCATGGTGGGCACTTGTTTAGGCCACCCCTGCCAGGGCTGCCAAAGGGAGTGTGTACCTCAGTAAGATCCAGCTATGTGCATGGCAGTTGTTTGTATCCTCCCTGTGGGATGTGCAGTTGCCAGAGGGGCCTAAAAGGAAGTGTGAGGAATGCAGAATGGAGTGAGTGCAGATGGAGGGCCACCTGGGGCTGCCCCTGCACCCTGGCTTAGCAGAGTATCTCCAGTCACAGCAGACTTGCAGTGTTGGCCTTCACATGGAAGTTCCAGAAGTGGCAGTCACAGAGCCCCTAGCAGTGCTTCCAGAGCCGTCTCAGGTGCATTCATTCCCCTGAAGAGCTGCTCTGAATCCCATAGCTTTGTTACAGCTCTTTCACAGTAGGGGAAGGCCAGGCTGAGCAAGGCAAGCCACTGTCCTGGTGCCTACTTCTGACGGGGTTATGGTTTGAGCCGGACCGGCCTGACTCCAGAAGCTACTGCCCCTCCCACACAGTGCCACATAAACTGACCAGATGGAAACTTAGGGCTAACACAGCTCCTGACACCTTTCAGTCTCCTTTCTCAGTGAATAACGGGAGCACAAGTGGGCCAAGTCCCTGAGATACTCCAAAAAATGTAATAAAATTATATAACAAATGAAATTTTAAACTCTTTATGATATTAGTATTGAATACAACATTGGGGCACCTGGGTGGCTCAGTGGTTGAGCATCTGCTCTTGGCTTGGGGTGTGACCCCAGAGTCTGGGGATCGAGTCCTGCAGGGCTCCCTGCACAGAGCCTGCCTCTCCCTCTGCCTGTGTCTCTGCCTTTCTCTGTGTCTCTCATGAATAAATAAAAATCTTTAAAAAAAAAAAAACTTGAGTACATTAATTTATTCTTGCAGTTGTGTAGCTCAATATAAAGTTGAAGAAGCATTCATAGGCTGTATTCTTTTGAGAATTAATAATGGCCTTGCCATTCTCCAGAAATGTCTGTGATCTGAAGTTGGTGGGATGAACTGGATAGGTTCTTGGTGGGATTGTCCTAATATTTAAGTGGCACCTCAGTTATAAGATAAATACATGCTCTTCCAAACATTCTTTTTTTAATGTGACTTTATTACATAGGGAGCCCTACCAGATCTAAGCTGTGTACACACACATGGGTGACTGATATGGCGTCTCCGCCTTCTCCTCTCAGTGCTATAGCTGCCCTGGACGTGACAGGCCTTATATTTCCGCCCTCCAGCACAGCACAAGAATGTGCAAACATGGCCTCAAAGGGCAACCTCCACCCTCCCACCATGGGGAGGGGAAGAATGGATACACCCTCCCATGGCTGTGATGTGTGGAATCAGGTTCTTCCCAAACCCATGTCCAAAATAAATTAGAAATTTTACTTGCTAGAATCTGGAGGCTTTAAGTGTTACATAGAAAACCAAGAATCTTTTAAATCTTGGAAAATTAAAATATTAATAATTATAAGGGAAAATTATTTTTCATTTTTAAAGTCCTAGGGAAAAAAGCCATACAAGATTATTAATTAGATACAATGCATGTCCTACTCTCAGATTTATGCTGTCTTCAGATAAGTCAATAGATTTTCTTATACTGTATGCTAGTGAGTTCTTAGAAATAATCATCATCTTAATCATTTTAGTGTATAGTGACTGATTACCTAAGTAGAGCACAAGCCCATTTTAGGACCATTTACTTAAATTCTAGCCCCTTGCCTTTCACTTGGCTTTTGTTTTAGTTAACATCACTTGAATTAAATTGAATTAATTCTAATTTCTCATTAACTAGAACACTACTTAATATCAGGGATTTTGTCACACACACAGAAAAGTAAGACTTGTTTACACAAAATATGAGTAATCCTTTTAGCAATGATAGAGATTTTCACTTAAATATGAGCATATATATTCTTACGTAAAGTGAAGTGAGTCCTTTAAAATCATTTTCTTTGATTTCCTTAATTTTATTGTTTTGAAGATCAATCATTTGAGTATCAAATGGAATGTTGCTTGGGACGGAGGACAAACCTGAGAATTAAACAAACATGTTATTCACACATTATATGCTGAGGAGGAGTTTTCTAATATAATAGAAATACATGTTTGTTAAAATCCATGGTTAGCATTACGAAACAACAAACACATTACTCTTTGGAAAGGCTTGAAGACCTTTCCAGGTAACTTATGTATTTTTGCAAGGTGTCTAGCTGGGTCTAGCTGTCACTGCTCCTTTGCACAAGGTGACAGATAAGGAGGTAAATTAAGGTGTGCTAATGCAATGGCAGGCAGGTGACCGCCACTAACAGGCAGCATCTGCTGATGCACTTGGGCTGAGGAGCAGGAACGTTCTCTGCTGCTTCTCTGGCTGTAGTAGGGCTGAATTGGAACCTGTGGGTTTTGATCATTTTAAGAAGTCTCAACATGTAGGAAGTTGTGCTTAGAAAATTAATTATTCTCATGTACATTCTTGAAAATGTTACTGCATATTTCCTTTAATAATGAACTCCTCTACTCAGTTATTTGATTTACAAAAACTTACTCCTCCTTAACTCCCTGTTGATGTCTGGATGTGCAATAGACCTTTACTGAAACCCTCCCCCTCATTGCTTTGGCTGGAAGCTCCCTGGGCACCCCCCCCCCCCCCCCCCAGTTAGCACTCCTCCTTGCAGGTTCAACAGTGGCTTGCTTTCTTTCAGCTCAGGTTAGGGTACAGTTGCATTGTGCTCTCTGGGTAGGTGCTCAGTCATGTTAGTTACATTACTAAGAGACTTCATTGTTTTTTCCTGTCTTGAATTCAGTAACAGAGCAGGAAATTACCAAGAGCGGTACATAGTGCATTTCTTCCTTACTTTTTAGGCTTTCCCTAGATGGCCAAGCATTCCCACCCTGCTCGTTGTCAGACAGGCCATTACAGTAGTTAGGCTTGACAAACATGGGGCCGCCTTTTTTCCCCCAACATTTATTGTAGAGATGTTCAAGCATTCAGAAAAGTTGAAAGAATTTTACAGTGAAAACCCACATTCTTTCTACCATCAACATTTTACTATACTTACCATTCACTCATCAATTCATCTTTTTTTATGCATTTTACAGGGAGTTTCAGTTAGTATGCTTTCGGGGGAGCCATCCTTGCTCCTTTAAAGAGCAGGAGTATATTTAAAAGCCCTGGGGAAGGGTTTAGTATCAAAATACTGGGAATGTCAGCACTTGACTGAAGCCCTGAGTACTTTTCCCTCCATAGTTTACAGTGATGACTCACTTTTTACGAAGTTTAACCATAGATAAAAAGGGGGTCGGGGGGACTTGGCAGGTTACCAAGGTAGTTGTTTTGTTAGGAGATGATATTGGTCTTAGGAAATGAAGTAGAAGGTCTTAGAGGAAGCTGGCAGCTCTGCAGAAAGCAAGCACTGGATAACTTAGACTTGTACAGACCTTGCTCACCCCACCCTTGATAAAATTGGAAGCTCTGAAAAGAGATTCATTTACTGAGGGAGAAAGAGTGATAGGGCTCCAGACCCTATTCATGGTTGTCCTCACCTGAGAGAGGTGAGGTATGTACCGCCCACAGTGCTGTATCAGACTCTTACAGATAATTCATAGGTAAATTTTGTCAGGTAGATTTTTTCAAAGCTAAATATCTAAGAGACTGTGCAAGGAACACACAGTTTCCAGCCAGATGGCTGAGGTAGTAGTTGGGTTTTTTCTCAGTTCTGTGGTGACAGTCACATCCTAGAACAGAGCTGCACAGTGTTTCCACCCAGGTCTACAAGTGGGAGCGGGTGTGGAGGCTACCACACGAGGATGGTCTGTGCCAGAGATGAGTGTGTCCCTGGTCACTCTTCCCCAGAGCCGGTCTAGTTTGCATGCAGCTGCGTTAAAGTGGATATATACATTTTCATCCTGACTTTTGCCTTACAAAGTGCTTTCACTTCCACTAACTGTACATACTTATGGTGAGTTTTTCCTGCCTGTGATGCAGCTCAGAAACAATGGCACATTCTGCTGTTTCTTAACCTTGGCCTATCTTTGCCCCATCTGTCCTGGCTCCTGCATTTCTCCTCTCTACTGCTCTTCCCATTCTGATGTGCTTCTACTCAAGCCATTCTTGGACCTTACTTGCAGCTTGTCATCTCTTCCTCACAAGATATCAAGACATTCCCAGTGATACTAGCTTATCATAAGCTTCTTTTTTAATTAATGTTTTTTGCTCCCTTCTCTCAGTTGTCCCTCAAATATGTACCTTATTGAAGTCTCCACAGTGGATTGTAACAAGCTTTGACATTGCCACAAATGCCATGGCAGTGGGAAGTAAGTCTAAAGCTGTCAGAGGCACCAGCTGCTCACATGTACCCTAGAAGTGTCCGTCATGGGCCTCCAGGCTCAAAATGGCAGATGTGTGTGCCACACCTTGGTTTCCCACAGTGGGTCAGGTCTGAGCATTCCCCTCTTCTGGAAATGGCCAGGTACAGTGACCCCTGGTGTGCATTCCCCATCACACCTCTTCCTGAGTGGGGTATCAGGGTACCCCTCTATCTTTCTCATGAAGAGAGCATCTTCATTAGAAATATTTTTAAAAATAAAGTATCAGCCGAGAATTCTGCATTTTTAAGACTTTAGAAAGTGATTTAGTTCAATCACTTCAAGACAGTTCTAAGTCTAAATCATTCAAAACAAAGAACATTGACTTTAAAATGTCTAGATTAGAGATTTCAAAAACTCTATAACCTGTTTATTGTTCTAGACAGGCTAGTTGTCCTTGTAGGATATTAGTAGGAAGCACACTGTCAACCTGCTGACATCCTGAAATGAAACCAGTGATGTCCATTCTCTCTGAGGGAAATTGAAATGAACCATTTTGATTCAAATTTGAGAAGAGAAGGAAATGATGTTCTGTATATGAAATTCCCACTGCTTCCCTTGGTGTTCTGGATTTTTAAGATAACTTTGGGTGTACTTTGGGTTTGTTGTATTTTCAAAAAACTTAAATGAAAAATTGCTTTACAATTAGCTGATTTTTGAAATTTCAGTGAGGTTTCCTCCTATCCTTTTAATTTTGTCAACGGTATTTTCTCCAGAACAAGTTGCGAAATGTTCTTACCTAGATCAGAGCAGTGTACAACTCTTGAGTAGCACTGGCATCCAAATGGACATGTTGGGAACAGATCAAAGGGGAAGAAGGGGTTAATTGGCTCTCTTGTTGGAAAAAGAGAGTTGTCGTCATCAGGGTCGCCATCCATTTCATCTTCCGTGTCCTTCAACATCATGTTCTTCAGCATCATGTATGAAGGATGAGATGATGGCTTGGCAGAGCACAACACCAGGAGCACGAGGAACACACACTCCTTCATATCGTCTCGTGTCAGGGCCCAGCCTATGACTGAGGAGACACTGAGATTAAGTTAAAGTTTAAACAGAATCCGTTTTTGCATCTGAGCATTTCTCAGAGCTGGTAAGGGCGCAACAAAATGGCATTCTGACCTGTTGCTAGGATGAGAGTAAATTTATAAAAAGTTCTTAGAAAGCAGTTTGCAAGTATGCATTGGAAGTTTTAAAAATATCTTTATTTTTCATCCATTAATTCTTTTTGTAATCTAGTCTAGGGAAATAATTCTAATGTGCATAAAGATGTCCATCACAGAATTATATGTAATAGCAAAAAGTTAAAGATAATACAAATGATTAAAGCAAAATAGTAAAATAAGGTGTATGTATCCCACGGAATACTTTTGAACCCATAGAATATTTACACAGAAGCTTAAGAATATTGGGGTGCCTGGATGACTCATTCGGTGAAGCATGTGCCTTTGGCTCAGGTCGTCATCCCTGGGTCCTGAGATCGAGCCCCACATCAGGCTCCCTGCTCAGCAGAACGTCTGCTTCTCCCTCTGCCCCTCCCTGCTGCTTGTGTGCATACTTTTTCTGTCCCTGTCTCTCTCTCAAATAAATAAATAAAATCTTTAAAAAAATATGGAGCATTGTAATTTTGAAATTACAAAAAGGCAAATATAAAACAATCCACATGTAAAGTATACTCACACTCAAAAACTTGTCACAGATATAGCTAATTGACAATCCTGGGTAGTAAAACAAATGACATGAGTCGTCTTTCTTTTTTTCCCCCTAACTTATAATGGCTGATAAGTACTACTCTTATACCTCGGAAACTAATGAGTACTTTTAACAACAGAAACAGATGATCAGACTTGACTCCCTACTCCCCATATCTTTGCATTACCTTAATATCTATGTCCCTTTTTAAGTAAAACCCACATGTCCCCTTGGCCTCACATCTGGAAGTCATCTGTAATGACCCCTCTCCCCACTGCCAGCCTCACTCTCAGACTTGGTCACTTTTTCCACAGTGTACTTGGATTTCCTCCTTCTAATCTGTTCCATTGTCTACTACCTGATTCAGAGCATCTGAGGGCCACCTTTCTTACTCTTTTCTTACCCATCTTCCTACTGAGTTCTATTTGTTTGGTTTTTTGAGGGGCGGGGTTGTTTTCAGTTGTATTTTTAAAGCCCACACAAAACTGGAACAAATGATCCAGAACCTTCTGAGCATAGATCTGTTTTCATCTCATGGCAGATTTTCACATAGGTGTGTTTACATATTATGGTTTTGTAACTATCATTTGTGAAGCATAGTCTTTGTAATTTTTGAAAATTAAAAGCATTATGAAATCATCTAAAACAGACTTATGCTGGTCTTCTCTTTGGGGCATGTCGTTGGCGGCATACAGATGCCCATTGGTAGGGCCGTGCCCTGGCCAGAGGGCGTGCACACCCTCCCAAGATGCCCCTTAGCTAGGTCCCCAGCAGTGCAACTGGCCTGCTGTGCCTGAACACCACCGCGCCTTAGCTCCCCAGGACTTCCAGACTCAGTCCAAGCTGGTCCAGTCTCAGGAAGACCTGGTTCTCCAAATCCTTGAATCACGCCAGCTGCTTACAGTTTCCCAGAACCCAGAAATCAGCTTTAACCTCTCTCCATGGCCTTGCTCTTTCTGGACTTAGGCATCAGAAATGAATTAAAGTGTTCATCTGTATATGATATGCCTTTTAATCACTAGGAGATGAAAAATTTTATCATCAGTTATTAACCTGACAATTAACGTTATTTAACTTTTAGAAATCAAAATGGCAATGTGAACACTTTTTCCACAGGGTAGCTGGATGTCACCAGCCAGATACATGAGATTTCTCTGTGCTAACCCACACTTGATTACACTAAGGACAGGACATTCTGGGGATCCCTGGGTGGCTCAGTGGTTTAGTGCCTGCCTTTGGCCCAGGGTGCGATCCTGGAGTCCCGGGATCAAGCCCCACGTCGGGCTCCTGACATGGAGCCTGCTTCTCTCTCTTCTCCTGTGTCTCTGCCTCTCTCTTTCTCTCTCTCTCTATCATAAATAAATAAATAAATCTTTAAAAAAAAAAAAAAAAGGACAGGACATTCCTGAGAATGGCCAACACTTTTAATAATTCACTTCAGAACCAGCCCTGGCCTCCTTCTACTTCCCTGCCTTATGGAAGTATCAATGCACGTGATTCCAGACACGCCCCCGCATTAACAGGGAGGCACAGGAGGCACCTAGAGCTTCAGTGCCCCCTACCCCCAAGGCCAAATAACCAAAAGAATTAGAACCCGAGGTAGAGCTCACACTCCCAGCCTATTGTCTGCATTTTCTCCTGCTGACTATGTGGGAGCACACTCTTGCATCCTAAAATGCAGTGGCCTCGCCCACACACTCTGTCATCTCTCCTTCTCCAGCCAGTCTGCACAAGAAGGGGTGCGTGTACTGCCTGGGCTGGGGGAGCAGGTGTGGGCGTGGCTGTGTGGTCAGACTAAGTAGTGCAGAAAGCCTGTGCTGGCAGTGTCTGTCAGCTGGCCCAGGGATGGACAGGTTCCCACTGTGTATCCGGTCCCCCAGGAACCCTGACACGGGCACGTGGGAAGGTCAGCTGGGCTCCATTTCCACTATTATTTCTGCTTACTGCATACCCAACTTTGATCCACTGTGTTTCTTGACCTTAGGCTTCTGTGTGATTCCTGGTTCCCAGCTTCACTTTGACCTTCCAGAACCCCCATTCCCTAGCTCCTTCAGCCCTGGATGGGTCCTTAGTCACCCCAAAGCTTGTCCCTGGTACCGTCTTACTCTTTAACGTTGCTCTGCAGCTCTGTCTTCCATGTCCACAGCTGCCCCTGGCTCTGCTCTTGCTTTAGGTTGTTGCAGTGTCCCAGTGGGCATCTGGTCAGGGCCCTGCTGTGTACCAGCCACAGTGTTAAGTTGCAGAATCTGTGAGGTAAAAGCCCCTCCCTCCTCTTCTTCCTTCTCCTCTTTCCCTCCTCAAAAAATAAAACCACAGCTCCTGATCTGTTACTCTCAGCCAAGCATGGGCTTGTTGTAAAAGCCAATGCTGGAATGTCAGGAGCATTCATGGAAAAACTAACAAATGCTTAAGTTAGTAAAGAGAGCTGAACTCCAAGTAGGCCGTGCTGACTGTGTGCCCTGTGGCCGGCACTTTGGAGGTATCTCCAGGTGTGTGGTCCCCAGACTTTAGAGCAGAATTCTTCACGAGAGGTCTGTTTACTCCTCATACCCTCAGTTTACTGTTAGAGACCAATGGATATAAAACCATCTATAAAACACACACTAAAAAAAGATTGAAATGGAATATACAAGCCTAATAAGTTCAGGCTGCTGCGTGAAGGATTATTTTTCCTCTTTTTAGGGGCATATTTTTAAAATTATGTTGGTTTTTAGATATTTTAAATAACAGCCTGCTGACAGAATTTGCTCTAGCCCTCCATATATTTTTGCCTTTTCCCACAACTTCTGTAGCATCAGACATTGTGTACAATCAAGACTCAGCAGTGCCCACCTGGGGAATCCTTGGGGGCCATGGTTTCCTGAGTCCTACCACCAATTACCCTGGTCCATGGGAGATGAGGAGTTTAATCAAGAGTTATTTTTAAATTGCTGGGTTGAGTTTTAGTACTTTCTTAGAGAAGAGTAGATACATGGGCTTGTAGGTTCCCAGTCTAGACCAGAGAAATCTATGTAACATGAATTCTACCTGAAATGATAGACCTAAGAAAACCATAGAAACTTAACAAATACACTTAATAAGAGAAACATGTCAGAGCTCCAAAAAGTAGGAAGCCAGGAACACTTCTGGGCTTTCCCTGGCCTGGCCATGGGGCTGGGGACTGGCCTTGACACCCCCTGCCCAAACCAAGCAGTGCCTGGGAGCCAGGTGGAGGCTAGGTCCGGTGTGTCTAGTCAAGAGGGACAGCAGTGTGAGGCGGCCACACACAGGTGAAGGGGAGGGGCAAGCCAAGCTTCAGGGCTGAAGACCAGCCCACCCATGGGGTCAGGAGGTCCCTGCCCCGGAGCAGGTGGGGACACTGGCTGCTAGAGCATGCGGTGGCAGGTCTGTGGTTGCTGGCTGGTAGAGCAGCACCCTTGTTCCTGCATCCTTGTTGAGGGAGGGGACCTGTGGAGGCCTGAAACTCCCTTCAGGTGCTGGAGCCTCCCTGGAGCATGCTGGGTCAGGTAGCGTGTCCTCTCTCTACTTGCATAACTCCAAGGAGTGCTCCTCGAGGGGCATCTGTTCCACTGTTGTCCATCTGTGCTTGATGGGAAATTCTTTATATTGAGACCAGAAGTGCCTTCTCTCTGTGCTACTGCTGACTTCTATTAGCCATATAAAATTAATATGACCTTAGCACTCTTTTACATCCTGACTCCTTAAGAGAAGTCAGGTGAGCCTTGATTCCATGAGGAATTCACCATTTACACCATTCATCTGAGGTGATAAAGTACAAGTGAGGGTAGGCCCCAAACTTTGCCCTATTCTACTTGACCAATTTATATCTGTGGAAAAATATTGGGATGTCCAGGAGGGAACGCTGTATAGCAGTGTTTTTCCCTATTATTCAGAAAGAATATGGAATATTATTTAAAATAATGTGACTTCTGGTTGTCTTATTTTTTAATTTTTGAGTTTATTATATTTAGGCTTAAGTTCTTATTTGATTAGTTTGGGCAGTAGTTAAATTAGGCTATTTTTAAAACTTTGTGTTTTGTTCTCAGGAAGACTCAGTGTTTCCCCAGTTTATACCAGTTTTGCCAGAGTTTATTACTCATGGAAAGCTTTGGACTTTGGTTTCAAGTTTCTTTTAATCAGAATACTATCTGGAATAGTATTTCAGTGCTACTGCTGTTCTTAATAAGCCCTGGCTCATTGGAGCCAGGAAGGGCCTCTAAGACATTGCTCCCACTGCCCTCTTTTACAGCAGAGGGGCCAAGGCCAGCCTCCTCACTCTGCATTGCCCTCCCCCTCTGGCTCCCCGCGGCTCCCCCAGGCAGGCCCAATCCCACAGTGACTTCTAGACAGTAACCAGACTCCCTTCAGAGAGGACAGGCACGCGGTTTGGCTGGGTTGTCAGGACTGGAAATGGAGCTAAGAAGTAGCTTTCTGAATTTGCATAAACTCCTATTTTCCACTTAAATGTTCTACAAACTTAGAATGGAAAATTTGTCTAAGTGAAATGGTATTTCCTCTCAGACTCTATTATTAGGAAAATAAGTTACTGTGTTTTTAAATCCCGTGCTTAAAGGTCTGCAGCTTTTCCCCTTGGCTGACCCATCCCTATCAGTTCGAGAGTGCCAGTAGTAGTTTTCAGGATGTAAATGTGACCAAAGGTGTGCTCCCAGAGGGCATCGGGCTGGGTCTGAGTCAGTCAAGGCTGAGCCCTGTGTGTGAGCAAGCAAGGAGGTACAGCATCCAGACATGCACGGGGACACTTACAGGACCTTCTGGAAGGAAACGGACACCTTTAAAGAACACACTGTCCTTAAAGACATAATTATCTTTACCCCAGAAGTATCAATTGCGTCTCATAAAAAACTGTTGGCTGCCTTTCCTCTTAATCCAGTTTTTGATCCTCCTTAGTTTTTCAGTACATCTTAACAAAAACTCCTACCCTTTCGTTCTCTACCATCTCCTACGGTGCCTTGAGACTTGTGCGTGTAAAGTTAATCTGACCTTGTAAAGTTAATCAGGCTTCAGATCAGGTACCCAAATATTCTTTTTTTAGTGGAGTAGCTGGTGGAAACAAAGACTTACTTCCACCACACCGTGTTGCGAAATACCAAAAACGAATTAAAAACATGAAGGTACTTTCACATGTGTGTGGGCTTGTGTGATTTCTTTGCAGTTTCTTTTTAAACAACTCAGTGATTCTTGGTGGGATTGAAAAAAAAATAACAACACTTGATTCTTAGAGAGAGACAGAGCCCTGGGGTTTCTCTGTGACTTGAGCTGTGGCTGCCACACCTCTGAGCACGCTGACCAGACGGAATGCTCTGCATCAAGTGAGCGAGTAGAGTATCAAGTACACGGTTTAATTTCTCATCATGTAAGACTTAATTTAAGAATTTACTTTGGGGGATCCCTGGGTGGCGCAGCGGTTTGGCGCCTGCCTTTGGCCCAGGGCGCGATCCTGGAGGCCCAGGATCGAATCCCACGTCGGGCTCCCGGTGCATGGAGCCTGCTTCTCCCTCTGTGTCTCTGCCTCTCTCTCTCTCTCTCTCTCTGTGACTATCATAAATAAATAAATAAAAAAATTAAAAAAAAAAAAAAAGAATTTACTTTGGGAGAGGAAAGAGGAAATCTTTATTTTAAATTCTGGCAAAGGAGTTCTGTGAAAAGTTTCTGATCTTTCCTATTGGATATGGCGCTAGTTGAAGGATTGCAGATAACTATTCTTTCTTGGAATTAGATGAACTCCACATTAACTGTCCAAGGCCATCTTATTGCATAAGAATAAGGAAGTCATTTATGAAGAAAAATAGGAGACTTCAAATGTGTACATGAAACTGATATTTGAATAATTCATACATTTTGAAAGAAGTATTAACTGACTCCATGTATCTTTGATAGCCTTGAACTTCATCATCATTAATTATTTTAAGATCATGTTATTCTCCTAAAAGAACATTGTATGTACAAGATGTTTAGGCGATTTTTAAAATCAGTCATATTTACATTTATGGTGAAACATAATAACAGGTTTTCATTTAACTGTAAAAGTCAGTTACATGAAAATAAATCCACCCCATATAAAATTCTAAGTTATGTATTTAAGTACTGATTTTTAAGGAATTCTGCAGATAAACTCAATCATATAATTTGTAAGCATTTATGTTAATAACATTAATGTCCCCTTAGTATCAACTGTAAAATAATTGTTCCCTGTACATGAAAAAAAGGCTTGAAAACATACCTTGTAAGAAGAGGGTCAGTCCTCTTGCGCAGAAGCTCCCAGCATGTACTGCGTCTTTGTAGTGTCACTGCTCCCAGGTGCTGGGGAAGGAGAGGTGAGAAGGGGTCACATGAACGGAGGAACACACTGCTCCGGAGCTTGCTGTGGCTGCGCCCTGGCCGACACCAGAATACACTGCTTCCACAGATTAGCCCATGGTAGTACTAAGGGGCGAGATTAAAACTTGTTACTGCTCATGTGTTTTCCATCACTGTTTGTATCGTAGCCAAGACTTCTAGCTAAACTCTAGACGTCTACTGGAAGATTCTGAAGAAAAAAAAGAGTTTAATAATGCATGGCAACTGGCCATTGAAAGTGCAGTCAAAGTCATTCAAGAAATACCTGATTTGAAAAAACACTTTATGAAATTCTTACATGAACAAATACTGATATATTACAAATTTAAAAATCACTCACCCCTATAGACTAAGAAGATATTTACAAATCTTGGTAAAAAGTACTAACATCACTGAAGTGTAAACCCAGCTCCAAATACACCTGAGAGGGGGCCATGCTGCTGCCTCGTTCTCATAGCTGAAGTCATCACACCAAGCATACTCACCCAGACTTTGCACAGGTGGGCCAGGTCCCTGTACACTGGGCCCTGCCTAAGGCCCTGGCCCTATATGAGGAGGGACTAGGACCCGCGGCTCCAGGGCATCCCAGCTTGGGCTTTCCCTCTCCAGGGGAGATCACCTGTCACCACGGGCATTTAGGGGTACATGGCAGCAGGAGGACACCATCGTCTGGAAGGACAGTGTTCACTCACATTACCATTCACCCCTGGGAGAATGCCCAGTTCCCATAGCAGCTGGGAACTCATCCCTCCAGAGAGGCCTCTTTCTGTACCACCAGTGCCAGGTACTTGCAAGCAGTCTCTTGATGCCTGGATTTGGGAGCCAGCCTGTCTATAAAGTGTGTTTCCCGTGGGTTCGCAGAGTCGACTCTCCTGTCCTTTGCCACCACCCCAAGAAGTGGCACACGTCATAGTGAAGCAGCCATGGCCACAGGGAGCGTGTGGTGCCCCTGGGTGTGGGCGGTCAGTCCCCATAAAGAAGATGCACTTCCTTGGAGCTCGAGTGTGTGGCCTCCCAGAGCTGCAGGTCTGCTCTGGCTTAGAATCCTGTTTGGTTCTGGTGCACGTGCTCCCATTTATTCTGTTGTGTGTAGTTCCTGTGTGTATGTGTTGAGTAACTGAGGCGTCCTGAGGGTTGGACCGCACATACTAACCTGGGTTTCATCAGAGCAGAGTTCTGTTGTCCTGCATCATGTGTTGTTTTGTTTTTTGACTTTCACAAGTCTGTATTACAATAATAAATACATAGCATCATACTGGTACAGCTCGGCCACAAACTGGGTATGGGTCGGGAACCTGCTGCCCCCTGTCAGTGAGGCCGTGGCAGCTTGCTCTGGGTCTAGCTTTCTTCACCTGGCATGCAGTGTTTTGGGGTCTGTTCCAGTGCAGTAGTCCATTTCTTGGTACTGTGCGGTGTGCTGGTGTGTACGACTGCGCCCCCAGTCAGAGCTTACGTGTATGTTCCCTCGGGGTACACCTGGGAGCACTCAGGCGTGCTTCAGTCTGTCGCAGGGCTCTTGTGTGTTTCTGTTTGGAATTGCTGTTCTTAGCATGAGGGGGAGCAGCACTCCTGACAGGTGGAGCCTTGCCAGCCTGTGGCTCCTGTTTTTCACCTGGCAGCCCTAGGCAGGGGTGAGTAGTAGTTGCTCCTCCATGGGACAAGGGCTCCCTGCCTCTCTGCCTCTGCCTCACATCTAGAGAGCGGGAGGCTCTTCTCTGACACTGCTTTGCTGACAGTGTGTCATAGCCCCTTCCTCCTCTGCCTGCCGCAAGCCCCCCCATCCCCCCGCCATGTCTGCCCCCGCACCTGGCTTCAATCTTTGGTTAGAGGTGTGGGGAAAGAAGCAGGCTCAGGAGCGGTGCTGGGGTGGGGGTGCCAGGCTGCTCTGCCCTATTCTGTGAACTCAGCTCACTGGCCCTGCGGGAAGGCCTGCAAACACCACCACAGAGACGCTGCAGGTTTTCTCCTGCACCTGTGCTATAGTCATTCCAGACACCACCATGTGCTTCATCTCCCTAAAGTGTCGTGAGGAGAAAATCTTCCAGTTTTGGTTCTGGTAGACATCATCCTTCGGGTGGGACCTGATTCTTTTCTACACATTTGTTATCTTTATTGTTTTTTTTCCTTCATCAGGCTTTGCTCTAAACATTAGAGAATTAGTTTTACTCTATCAAAACGGTATTGTTAGAAATTATGAATAATCTGCATATTATTATAAACAAAACAGAACAAGTGATATTCTCTACACTGGCATTTTATGAACAGAAATGCTGATGGTCACAGAAGGAACCTCACCACAGATTTCCTGTATAGCCTGATCTATTCCAACCATAGTGAAAATAAAAATAAATTGCGTAAGCCAAACTTGCATATAATTTTTTTTAAGATTTATTTATTTCAGAGAGAGAGGGCATGAATAGAAGAGGGAGAGGGAGAGAGGATATCCAGCAGACACCCCGTTGAGTGTGGAGCTCAACATGGGGCTCAGTCCCATGACCCCGAGATCATGACCTGAACCAAAACCAAAAGTCAAACACTTAACCAACTGTGCCATGCAAGCATACTTGTGTATAATTTCTCCGACCCCTTCCTGATCTCCTCCTTGTTGGGAAATGGGGAGCAGTGGTCATGGCCCAAACAAAGGAGAACTGGAAAGGCTGTTGGGAATCATTGGCAAATTTCGAATGAAGTGGGTGGAGAGGGAGGAGGGTGTCTGTGGCCTCAGGAGATACCTTCCCAAGCCCAGGAATCACTAGGAGGTTGAGTTGTGTGATGTCTGTTCAGGCAACGTCTGGTACGCTCTGCCTTCTGAGAGCATTGGGGTGGACTGTGGGGCATCTCCCCCAGTTGCTACAAGGACTTGTGTGGTTGATCACTCATTCCACAAAATGCTATGAATGCTGTGAGGAAAAGCAGGGAAGAGCTGTGGGGGAAGCCTGGCAGGATGTGAGGGAGTTTGCCCTGCAAGTACGATTTTAGGAATGCTCAGAGCTATCAAACCTGAGGATATAAATACTGTAATCTGGAGGCTGTATGGGGGGGCACCAGGGTGGACTGGGCTCTGTGGTTTAGGATTAATTACTTACACTGCAGGTCATGATCTGTGCACAGTATTCAGCCTGCAGATGTGTTTTGTTTGGAGCATATGGTATTTTTAAAAAACAGGAAGTTTTATGTCAAAGTCCAAATTTATAGCGTATCTTAAAAAACCAGTCTAACAAAGCTGGCCCTGACCTCCTGTGCAGTTCCAGCAATTGTCTGAACTGAGGCAGCAGCCTCCTTCCTGCAGGCTCCTGGTCCCGGGTCCCAGTCTTCTTGCCCTCCACTATCCCTGTGCCCTTAGCCCATTGCAGGGTTTGCTCTGAAAATGAGTTAATGACATAAGTTGTCATTTAAAATGAATTGAGGGATCCCTGGGTGGTGCAGCGGTTTAGCGCCTGCCTTTGGCCCAGGGCGCGATCCTGGAGACCCGGGATCAGATCCCACGTCAGGCTCCCGGTGCATGGAGCCTGCTTCTCCCTCTGCCTATGTCTCTGCGCGCCTCTCTCTCTCTCTCTCTCTCTCTCTCTCTCTCTCTCTCTCTCTGACTATCATAAATAAATAAAAATTAAAAAAAATAAAAGTTTAAAAAAATAAAATGAATTTATGAATATTGAAGGACTTACTGCAATACGTTTTACAATATTGTATGGGTGTCAGATATTTTTAAATAATGCCTCAAAAGTCTGCCTTGGGGAGTGAAGACAGGTAATAGTTTATTTTACTTTATTTTATAAGATTTTATTTTATTTTATAAGATTGATTTATTTATTGGATTTTATTTTTTATTTTATTTCATAGGATTTTATTTCATTTTATGGGATTTTATTCATGAGAGACACAGAAAGAGGTAGAGACACAGGCAGAGGAGAAGCAGGCTTCCTGTAGGGAGCCTGATGTGGGACTCGATCACAGAACTCCAAGATCACGTCCCAAGCCAAAGGCAGATGCTCAATCACTAAGTCACCCAGGCGTCCTAATAGTTTTATTTTATTTATTTATTTTTATTATTTTTTATAGTTTTATTTTAAATAAACTTTTTAGCTCTTCCCACTGAGAAAACCCAGAAGTTCATGCATCTGACTTCCAAATCTGTGTTTCTAAGGACCGTTTCCCACTAGAAAGGACCAAGGCTCCTAGGAGAAATGACAAGTAACAGGTTGGGGTCAGGGAAGGCGTAAGATATGCCTGAAACATCTAACACCAGCCAGCACCAGAGTGTACAGAGTTTACTGTGGATGCACGGATGGAGCGCAGAAGCTAGCGGGAAAACACAGCATGACCCCCTTACAACGCACTAGGATGGCCCTGACAGTAGCATGTCACATGCAAAGTCCTGTAATAACAGAAAAGAGAGTCAAAGGGACAACAGTTTTCCTGTAGAAGAATGTTAGCTGGTCAGAAGAGAAGGAAGCAGAGCTGGAAATTCACCTGCGGGGACCCTCCAGAGTGCTAACAGGTTTAGGCAAAGATAGTCTGTGGATGCTCAGACAACTATGTGGAGAGTTACTGGATGGTGAGAGACTCACACAGACCCAAAGTCTTACCTTATAGATTGTGTCTAACGACCAGGGGGCGGTGCTGGCCCCTCAACCAGATATCCCAGAATCACCAGTAACACGCCTGCCCAACATCACTTGTGTGGGATTCCTGCCAGGTATGTACATCTAACCAGACAAATGCAGGTCAGGGGACATTTTACAAGATAGCTGGCTGGGGGATGCTTCAAAACAGCGAGGGGGGGGGCAACACTCCACTGGGCAAGGGTGCTGCTGTAGGTCGCTCACAGGAGACTGGGGGTCCACATGTGAACTATTCATACACACAGCCTCCAAGCATGTGATTGGGACTGGGGAACGCTGAGTGCGACAGTCCTGAGTCAGTGTTGTATTTCCTGTGTTTGGTAATGTGAGTGATTGTGATCATTGTCCCACGGTGACGTCAGAAGCTGTGTTCTCCGGGGTTTTCTCCTCCGGTCGTGGATGATGGTGTTGTGACATCTGCATTCAGATGCTCTAGCCTGTCCCCTGCAAATTCTTATGTGTGCATAGACGT